TACAGAAGACCATTATATTGACTTGCTGTTGTGGAGCGTGTTCCCAGTGGAAGCAATGTTCAAAGGATCCCACCCATAGGCTGGATGTTGAGCCCTGCATAAACCCAAACTGGTCCATGGGCCGCAAAAAGGCGGTCCATGGGCCGCATGTTGAGTAGCCCTACTCTATGGTATGATCAGCACATCAGGTGATAGTCTCAAGGGGATCTCTATGACTGAACCCATCACACCTTCATCTGTGCCCAAAGCCTCAATCTATTCTAAAGAAACAGGAATTGGGTGAGCTTTGCTTTTTGCTCACAGAAAAGTTGATATCTCAAGCACAGCTGCATTCCGCCGAAGCAGCAATTTACAACTGGCTTTTAAAGACAGTCTGTATAAAACAAGTCATAGTCATTCAGCATAAAAATCAAGCTAGTTTTTTAAACTTCATGCCTAGGGCTAGTAGGTGCTATAGAAATACATCATCATCATCATCACTCCCATAACTGCACTGGGGCACCATCACTGAGGAGCACAATCCACAATTTTTCTCCTTCCCTGATGATTGTTTGGCAATGCTTGAGTCTTTGAAGTCTGTTTCTGTCTACTCTTTTGTGGTGTCAATCCATCTCATATTTTGTCTAACTCTTCTTCTCTTCCTTTGTACTGTTCCTGGGAGGATGATCATGAATAGGCCAGATGATCTTGTATAGTGGTTGTACTGCTTCAGCTTGCACTTCTTCATAGTCACCAGGACATCTTCATATGACCCAACACATTGGTTGATGATGTTGCAGACCCCTCCATTGGTGATGTGGTCAAAGTAGGAAATGCTCAAGATTTTCTCTCATCTTTACTACCTAATTTTTCATTCAATTCTGCCGTAAGGATCCATGTCATATTCATTTACTTCATATTACACAATTGATTTTTGTAAGAGTTCTGACCAAATACTTTACAGAAGCCAGAATGCAAACCCCTGCCTCCTCTGCAAGTCTGCAAACACAAGACATAGACAATGTCTATCCTATTACATCATTTTTAATTCTAGCATAGAAATAATAAAATATAAAATGCAACCATTTGCTTCCATAATGACTGTTCTAGAACAGTCTCAATATTATGACAAAAAAGGGTTCAGTTGTGCCTTCTTGTCATATTAAAAATACTCACTGAAATCACAGTAATAAGAGGGCAATCAGGTTCAGTGTTCAATTCACTCAAATATCTTCTGCATTATAGGAAGCTCCCTCTTCTGAAGAAACCAGCAATTTTGTGCGTTTGTCTCTATTAAGACTTCTGTCTGTGAGATGTACAAAGTGTGTTTTAGGAACGTTCTTTTACTGCCAGAGTTCTAAGCCATTTTCACAAACAGTATATTATCGTTTGCAAAATGAGCCTTAAAACTATAGTACTGTTCACAGAAGCCTTTTATAGACCCAGTCCTGCAAACAAATAGTAGCAGGCACAGATCTTATTTACTGGAGGAGATAATCCTATATATTTTATTAATGTATTCTCAGAGACTAGCCTGGGACTACATAATTTAGGTTTATAGTTAATGCATTTTTGTGCATAAGGATAGTAGAATTTTCCTTTTTAACATTGTATGTGAGTGCAATTAATATAACTAAAGCTGCATCATTGCTACGTGTAGCTAGTTTTCAACTGAACATACACAGAAATTTAATATACTGTGAACTACAGAATAGCTATAGCCTGCCACTGTTAGGATTACCAGATGGGTTTAAAAAAAGATACCAGACAACATCATCTCAGAACGGGATGGGGGGGAGGGGGAACCAGCCGGAAGGGGAGTAGAGCTGGCTGGGGAAGATCGGGGGGAGGGGAGGAACTGGTCACGGGAAGCAGGAGTGGCTGGGAGGGGATTAGGGAGGGACTGGCCAGTGGGAAGTGGGGCTGGCCGGGAGTGGGTCAGGGGGAGCGGAGCTGGACGGGGAGATCACTGGGTGGAGAGGGGGAACCGGCTGCCAGGAAGCAGGGCTGGCTGGGAGGGGGTTGGGAGGAACAGGGCTGGATGGGAGGGAACCGGCTGGCCCAGGCGCATGCAGATCCTGGGGTGCTGCCCGTCCCGGGAATGGGTGGATCCATCTCCAGGGATTCCATCACACCCCGGCCCTGCCCCCACTCCCCACCCCACTGCATAATTGTGTACTGACTGGCTGGTAGACACGCTCACACAGCTTTATTAGTCTATAAAGTGCTACCAGACCATTTGTTGTTTTTTACGTTTTTAAGTTTAATATTGTAATAAAAGGCAAGCTGAGTCCACAATGTGGTGTGAAAGGAACTGTCAAGAAGACAACAGTGGGAAAAGGCTTTGTTTTCAAGTGCCACGCTCTTTAACTGTGGCAGGGAAAAGTTCCCCTTCCGGAGCCTTTCCCCACTGCAACGAAAGATTCCAGGAACAGGGAG